ACACTATACACTACTATGCACTGCACTATACACTACACTATATACAGTGAGGGAAAAAAGTATTTGATCTCCTGCTTATTTTGTACGTTTGCCCACTGACAAATAAATGATCAGTCTATAATGTTAATGGTAGGTTTATTTGAACAGTGAGAGACAGAATAACAACAAGAAAATCCAGAAAAACGCATGTCAAAAATGTTATAAATTGATTTGGATTTTAATGAGGGAAATAAGTATTTGACCCCCTCTCAATCAGAAAGATTTCTGGCTCCCAGGTGTCTTTTATACAGGTAACGAGCTGAGATTAGGAGCACACTCTTAAAGGGAGTGCTCCTAATCTCAGCTTGTTTCCTGTATAAAAGACACCTGTCCACAGAAGCAATCAATCAATCAGATTCCAAACTCTCCACCATGGCCAAGACCAAAGAGCTCTCCAAGGATGTCAGGGACAAGATTGTAGACCTATACAAGGTTGGAATGGGCTACAACACCATTGCCAAGCAGCTTGGTGAGAAGGTGACAACAGTTGGTGCGATTATTCGCAAATGGAAGAAACACAAAGAACTGTCAATCTCCCTCGGCGTGGGGCTCCATGCAAGATCACCTCGTGGAGTTGCAATGATCATGAGAACGGTGAGGAATCAGCCCAGAACTACACGGAAGGATCTTGTCAATGATCTCAAGGCAGCTGGGACCATACTCACCTAGAAAACAATTGGTAACACACTACGCCGTGAAGGACTGAAATCCTGCAGCGCCCGCAAGGTCCCCCTGCTCAAGAAAGCACATATACATGCCCGTCTGAAGTTTTCCAATTAACATCTGAATGATTCAGAGGACAATTGGGTGAAAGTGTTGTGGTCAGATGAGACCAAAATGGAGCTCTTTGGCATCAACTCAACTCGCCGTGTTTGGAGGAGGAGGAATGCTTCCTATGACCACAAGAACACAATCCCCACCGTCACACATGGAGGTGGAAACATTATGCTTTGGGGGTGTTTTTCTGCTAAGGGGACAGGACAACTTCACCGTATCAAAGGGACGATGGACGGGGCCATGTACCGTCAAATCTTAGGTGAGAACCTTTTTCCCTCAGCCAGGGCATTGAAATGGGTCGTGGATGGGTATTCCAGCATGACAATGGCCCAAAACACACGGCCAAGGCAACAAAGGAGTGGCTCAAGAAGAAGCACATTAAGGTCCTGGAGTGGCCTAGCCAGTCTCCAGACCTTAATCCCATAGAAAATCTGTGGAGGGAGCTGAAGGTTCGAGTTGCCAAACGTCAGCCTTGAAACCTTAATGACTTGGAGAAGATCTGCAAAGAGGAGTGGGACAAAATCCCTCCTGAGATGTGTGCAAACCTGGTGGCCAACTACAAGTAACGTCTGACCTCTGTGATTGCCAACAAGGGTTTTTGCCACCAAGTACTAAGTCATGTTTTGCAGAGGGGTCAAATACTTATTTCCCTCATTAAAATGCAAATCAATTTATAACATTTTTGACATGCGTTTTTCTGGATTTTTTTGTTGTTATTCTGTCTCTCACTGTTCAAATAAACCTACCATTAAAATTATAGACTGATTATTTCTTTGTCAGTGGGCAAACGTACAAAATCAGCAGGGGATCAAATACTTTTTCCCTCACTGTACCACTATACTACACTATACACTACACTACACACTAGTGCTGTTCTGGTCACGTGACAAACCCTTACTAATCGGCCGTGTCGGGTGGTGGTGGGGTTTAACGACACACATTTATATATTTACGCGATCTACCCCCCCCACCTCCCCACCATGTGTTATGGATGACAAACCCCACGTGTGTCCTAACTTCTGGGCCACAGGAACCCCCACGACTCGTCGCATCGCGTTCCGGGGAGGTGCCCCTGTTGCCAGCGATCGCTCCAAGATAAGCGTCTCAAAAGCCGCACCACTCGCTGCGTGCCGCCGCCGCACCGTTCCCCCCAAAGAGTTCATCACATTACATGCAGTCCATTGTTCGTTCTACCCACACTGTGCTCATCATCACAAACAAAGACTCCCCCCCACCCCACCCCACCGAGGCTGTGACAGACTGTAGGGGCACTTTTGAAGGCCGGCACGGCACACGATGGGGTGGGTGGGTCAGCGCCACGCCAGACCGGCCGCCTTTGTCTCCCCAGCGGCGATGTTTTACACAAGGCCGAGTCGACCTAGGCGATGCCCAGGACCGGTTCAGATTAACCGTCACTGGGTGTTGCCGTGAGCGGGTATCGAACTCGGGTGGCCGGGTTCGTAGCGCAGTGCGCTAACCGCTACGCCACCGCTCCCCCGTCACAAAACACGCAAGAGCGAAACAATGTTGACATTTCAACCGCATTATAAAAACAACAACAACTGCCCCAAATCCCTTCACCCCCCACTTGTCAATGTGTAACTTGCTCACTGGAAATAAAAAAGCGCCTCACGGCTCACTGGATTCTCTACCCAGCCTACATTTAACAATATTAATCCGACACAAATTAAATAAGGGCGGTAATCAAATGTGCGATGAGAAGAACAACAACAAACAGAAAAACGAATGTGATTGTTAAACGCAACTGCGGGTTCTGTGGTGCTTCACGGTGCGCCGCGTCTCCCCTCCCTGTGAACATATTTAGCCTTAGGGGCCCCATCCATTTAGTACGCGCTTAGGGCCCATCCTTTTAGTACGTACTTAGGGCCCATCCATTTAGTACCTACTAAGGGCCCATCCTTTTAGTACGTGCTTAGGGCCCATCCATTTAGTACGCGCTTAGGGCCCATCCTTTTAGTACGTGCTTAGGGCCCATCCATTTAGTACCTACTAAGGGCCCATCCTTTTAGTACGTGCTTAGGGCCCATCCATTTAGTACCTACTAAGGGCCCATCCATTTAGTACCTACTAAGGGCCCATCCTTTTAGTACGTGCTTAGGGCCCATCCATTTAGTACCTACTAAAGGCCCATCCATTTAGTACGTGCTAAGGGCCCATCCTTTTAGTACCTACTAAGGGCCCATCCATTTAGTACGTGCTGAGGGTCCATCCATTTAGTACCTACTAAGGGTCCATCCATTTAGTACGTGCTAAGGGCCCGTTCATTTAGTACCTACTAAGGGCCCATCCATTTAGTACGGACTGAGGGCCCATCCATTTAGTACGTGCTAAGGGACCGTTCATTTAGTACCTACTAAGGGCCCATCTATTTAGTACGTGCTAAGGGCCCGTTCATTTAGTACGTGCTTAGGGCCCATCCATGTAGTACGTGCTTAGGGTCCGTTCATTTAGTACGTGCTTAGGGCCCATACATTTAGTACGTGCTTAGGGCCCATACATTTAGTACGTGCTTAGGGCCCATACATTTAGTACGTGCTTAGGGCCCGTTCATTTAGTACGTGCTAAAGGCCCATCCATTTAGTACGTGCTAAAGGCCCATCCATTTAGTACGTGCTAAGGGCCCATCCATTTAGTACGGACTGAGGGCCCGTCTATTTAGTACAGACTGATGGTCCATCCATTTAGTACGTGCTTAGGGCCCATCCATTTAGTACGTGCTTAGGGCCCATCCATTTAGTACGTGCTTAGGGCCCATCCATTTAGTACGTGCTAAGGGCCCATCCATTTAGTACGGACTGAGGGCCCGTCTATTTAGTACAGACTGAGGGTCCATCAATTTAGTACGTGCTTAGGGCCCATCCATTTAGTACGGACTGATGGTCCATCCATTTAGTACGTGCTAAGGGCCCGTTCATTTAGTACATGCTTAGGGCCCATCCATTTAGTACGTGCTAAAGGCCCATCCATTTAGTACGCACTCAATGGATGGCCCCTTACAGTTCGCGTCTCGGGGCCCCTTTATAACATACTAGCGGCAAGTACCCGTCGCTGCCCGGGAGAGAACTCTATTTCAAATCTTCTCTTAAAAACCTTACATATACATACACAGATGCCAAGCTTCGTGGGCCGTTTGTCCATTTCTCCACCAACAAAATTATAAGAGGCTTGCACGAGTCCAAAAAGTTATAGATGTTACAGGCCCCACACTAGCTTAATCCGGCACTGTGTTCACTGCATCATCATCGTCGTCATCGTTGTTATTGTCTGTGTGTCCCCACTTCGCTCTCAGTGGTGGCCATCTCCATCACCTTCGGTTTAAATCAAGGAAATAAAAAAAAATGTCCCCTCCCCCCCCCAACCTCCAAATCAACTTGCAAGTCGCCTTGAGCTAGCGCCGCGTAGATATTCGAGCACGTGGCCGACGCTTTATTATTATTTTAGGCGCCCAAACCCGGGGTGAGGTTTCGCACTCAGAGTCTCATCGGCAGTGGTCTTGTCGGCCACCGCCCATCGCCAAAGCAGGAACAAATGTAAGATAGCGCGTGGTTTACGGCTATTGCTCGTAGGGTCGCACACCTCCGGTTTAACACGGTTGGATACGTACGGCGCGAAAAAAGTTCAACACACACACGTGAAATGCATTGGTCCAGGAGGGCCCATCGTCTGCGCGAAACACCACACAGTGTGTTGTTACTTTGTTCCAATTTTTGGTCGTGCTGATGGTGGTGGTGATGATGCACATGCCGTTGATGCCAGCGAGGGTATTGATGATGATGACAATGGTGATGATGGTGGTGTGGTGATGGTGGTGTGGTGATGGTGGTGTGGTGATGGTGGTGTGGTGATGGTGGTGTGGTGATGGTGGTGTGGTGATGGTGGTGTGGTGATGGTGTTGGTGTACATCGCCTCATTCGCATTGAGAATCAACATGCGTGCGTCTCGAGTCTCCACTCGATCACGACGACGACCAATGCGCCACCGATTGCACGTTGAGCTATCACTCGTGGCCAAGGTGGCTTCTGGCAACAACGCTAACTATTCAAAGCCTTACACACACCTGGTAAAAGCACCACCACCACCACAACCACCACCGCACCGCCAACAACAACAACAACGAAGAAGACATTCGCGAAGCGCAAGACCTTTGCACGGGCCTCACTTACTTGAGAAAGTATCTCTGCCCGGATTGTGTCTTGGCCATCTCCCATCCGGGAGGCAGCGGCGCTTCGTCTCCCACATCATAGGAATGCTGACGGAGGTGCATCTGCCCTTGGCCCTGCTGCTGCTGCTGCATTGACGGTGGCCCTTGACCCGCAGCGGACACGGCCGACAAGGAGCCCAGAGCGCCGGGGGAGAGGGCGAGCGACGCGGGCGACGAGTTGGCCCTGATGTGAGTCGGCAGAAGAGGCGAAAGTGTCGCAGCCGCCGAATTCGACGACGAGGAGGATGAAGAAGACGACGACGAGGAAGAGGACGACGAGGAGGAAGAGGCCGAGGTGGATGACGACGGGACGACCGTTTGGTGGTCTGCGGGCAAGCCACAGCCGACGCCGACGCTGCTGCTGCTGCTGGACTGCCGTGAATGCGAGCCGCAGCCGCCGCCGCCACCGCCGGCAGCGTCGGGCTGCTTGAAGAACGAATCGGGCAGCTTCCTCATCCTCATGGGCAGCTGCTGGGGGACGTTCGCCGACTTGGGGTTCATCACGGCGTTGAAGAGCGACTCGAGGTCGCTGTCCGAGTCGCCACGCACGTGCAAGACTTGCTGGGGGCTATGCGTGCCCGACATTGGATCCATGGTGATTCGCGGCCACGCGTGCGGTCGACGCTTCCTTCCTCTTCTTCTTCTTCTTCGAGCGAGTGTTGTTTCCCCTGGTGTCTCCCTCTCTCTGTCTGCGTGTGTGTCTCTCTCTCTCACCCCAAGTCTGCACGCCTTCTTGCTCGATTTAGCCGGATCTCGGGCGCGGATTTTGTCTCGAGGGGTTTTGTCGTCGCCGTGGCCACGTGCGTTATCCCAAAGTGCGTCGACTTCACGCGCGTGTCTTCACGTGTGTGTGTGTTTGTGTCTTCCTTCGGAAGAGCCCACACACACACACGCACGCGCGCTCCACCCCACCCACCCCCCCTGCCTCCCAGCTATCGTCAGTTAAGAAGTTTTAAAAGCGTTCGTTAAACGATTCAAAACGCTACAAACTACGTTTTATTTTTAAACCACACACACACGCGCGCGCGGGGTACGGAGAGTTACGTCTCCTCCTCTCGGTGGGGTGGTTGCTGCTCTTCGCTGAAAGTTTCCGACAATAAGTCTGCCCGCGACAAACCCCCCCCCCCAAAAAAAACCGAACGGAATAATTATTTTTTAAAAAAAAGAGTATAATCCTTGCCAACGAGATCCTAAGACCTCCGTAACATCACTCGTGCTGCGCTCGCAACATACAACACGAAACAAACCCCGCCGCAGAATAAAGCAGCAACTACAACAACAACAAACCCACCCACCCCCCCAAAAAAAACTTGTGAAAGTTTTGGAGACTCCGCACGTCGTCCGCACGTCCCCCCCACTCCGAGCTCGGCGAGGCCAGCGAACGAACGAACGAACGGGGGGACGCGAAACGTGAAATGGACGAGCGAATGTAAAACAAACAGAAAAAAAACCTCACCCTCTCACCACCCTCTCACCCCCCTCTCCCCCTAGCTCGAATCATCAAAAGTCTCTGGGGGGGGGGGGGGTGGCGGGGGGAGGCGCCTCTCTCGCGGACAAACTTTTGCCCGCCCAACAAACACGAAGTCTGTTGTTGTTGTTTGTTTGTTGTTGTTGTCGTCTTGGTCGTCGCAAGAATTCGCCGCGTAGCTGCGACTCAAACTTACGTGGCGAGTTGAGTTTAAACGGGAGCGCTGCTTCTTCTTCTTCTTCACGAAGAGACGGTGACGATGATGATGATGGTGGTGGTGGTGTAAGCCTGCACAGTGCCGCGTGTGGGCAGGGCTCACGACGGTGAAAAGTTGCTGGGGCTGGTGGGGGTGGGTGGGTGATGTTTTTGTTCAGAACGTCAGAGAGTTGAGTGGGTGTGTGTGCTGTGTGTGTGTGGGATGTGTGTGTGGTGGGTGTGTGGGATGAGTGTGTGTGGGATGTGTGTGTGTGTGGTGGGTGTGTGGGATGAGTGTGTGTGGGATGTGTGTGTGTGTGGTGGGTGTGTGGGATGTGTGTGTGTGTGGTGGGTGTGTGGGATGAGTGTGTGTGGTGGGTGTGTGGGATGTGTGTGTGTGTGGGATGTGTGTGTGTGGTGGGTGTGTGGGATGAGTGTGTGTGGGATGTGTGTGTGTGTGGTGGGTGTGTGGGATGAGTGTGTGTGTGGGGGTGTGTGTGGTGTGTGTGTGTGGATATGTGTGCATGTGTAGCGATTAGCGCTACGCTGCGCAAAGAACCTGGCGACCCGCGTTCGATTCCCGCTCACGGCCAACACCAGTGACGATTATCTGAACCGGTCCCGGGCCTCCCCTAGGTCGACTCAGCCCCAAATGAGTATCTGGTGCGGTGTGTAAACATTGCCACTAGGGAGACAAAGGCGGTCGGGCGTGGTGCCGGCCACCCACCCCCTCGTGTACCGTTCCGGCCTTCATAGGTGCTCGCTAACAGCACTTGCCCCTACAGTCTGTTAAGGCTACATGGGGGATCGTGTGTGGGGATGTGTGTGTGTGTGGGATATGTGTGTGTGTGGTGGGATGTGTGTGTGTGTGTGGGGATGTGTGTGTGTGTGGGATATGTGTGTGTGTGGGATATGTGTGTGTGTGTGTGGGGATGAGTGTGTGTGTGTGGGGATGAGTGTGTGTGTGTGGCTGACCAGGCTGGGCTAAGCTGGGCTGGACGTAAAAGCAACAAAAAAATTTGAGCGGGCGGGCGAGTGAAATAAAAAAAAATAACCTCACCAAACTTTCATAGTTCGTGAACTGAGCCACACACACTGCGAGTGCCATCACGGCTCCTCTCCCTCCCCCAGCACCACCACTCCTCCCTCCTCCGACTGCGCTGAAGTTCCATCACGCGCATTCACTGCCGCGAGCGTCCCTAGCGGCTACAGAGAGGGAGAATTCTGTTTTTTTGCTCGTGATGTGAGGGGTCGTCCATGAATGACGTCACGCACCTAGGGGGTGGGGGGCGGGTCAGACATTTGTGACGATGTGTGACGAGAGAGGGGGGGGGGGGTTGAGAAATGTGACGTCACGTAACTTTCAATAAATATAAATATATATAGACAACACGTTCTACTTAATTAAATAGACTTTTTAATAAATGTTTTCTCCTACAACATCAGAGTGCAGCGGCACATTAATAGTTTAAAGCGATTTGAAGCATGTTTTATTTTCAAAATGTAAATATAGTTGTTGTTTTTTTGGGGGGGGGGGCAGAGTTTCAAAAGCGATCCGGCCACAAATGACACCTCAACAAAGTAGCTTATCATTTGGACATTTACAGCAGGGAAATAAGCTAAATAGTCTAAACGCGTGTTACTAAATGGGGAGGGAAATCGCGCAGGACCCGGAGAAAAACTCAACGAGACCACAGGGAAAAGATGCAAACTCCAAATATACAGCAGCAGCAGCAGGCGTCAGGGTCGAGATCGAACCCACGACCTCCTGCATACCAGGCGAGGTAGTTAACATCTCTTAGCCGCCGTGATGATGATGATGATGAGAGAGAGACACGCAGACTCCAAATATACAGCAGCAGCAGGTGTCAGGGTCGGGATCAAACCGACGACCTCCTGTACACCAGGCGAGGTAGTTAACATCTCTTAGCCACTGTGATGATGATGAGAGAGAGACGCAGACTCCAAATATACAGCAGCAGGCGTCAGGGTCGGGATCGAACCCACGACCTCCTGTACACCAGGCGAGGTAGTTAACATCTCCTAGCCACCGTGATGATGATGATGAGAGAGAGAGAGACACGCAAACTCCAAATATACAGCAGCAGGTGTCAGGGTCGGGATCAAACCGACGACCTCCTGTACACCAGGCGAGGTAGTTAACATTTAGCCACCGTGATGATGAGAGAGACACGCAGACTCCAAATATACAGCAGCAGGCGTCAGGGTCGGGATCGAACCCAGGACCTCCTGCACACCAGGCGAGGTAATTAACATCTCCTAGCCACCGTGGCGCCCCGGTTCTCCTGTTATATTATCCATAATATATAGCATTAAAAAGATGGGCTATTCCTCGCAATGCCTGCAGGAACTGACGCATTGCTACACCTACAACGAGGTCCCTGAGATCTTCAGATCGCCTTCTTCTTCTTGGTGTGGTACTTTAGAGGTACACGGCTCATTTCCTGGGGGGGGTGGGGGGGGGGGGGATCGCACCTCGCCCCCACCCCCGATCCCCGACCTGACCTCCTGCATACCAGGCGAGGAAGATAACATCACGACTCCGTTGCGGCTCTCAAATAAATTAATAATGCGCGTTTTCTCAGGGCCATATCACGTAACCACATTGGGCCGGCCTGGGGCGCGCGTGTATGTGTGCGTTTGTGTTTTTTTTTTAGCACAGGGCCTATTTTGAGTAGCGAAACTTTAGCGTGCGATGACATCATCTCGTGTGCAGAAGCCAGATGGTTTAATAATAATAATGACGATGATGATTTCAACTTTTGCAACGCCGCATTTCAGCTGCACGGTATTTGCTCCACACGCCGTCTCTCTCTGGAAGGGAGAGAAGGAGAGAGAGAGAGAGGACGACTCAGAGGCGCCAAAAGGAATCCCGGGGCGAGTGAGCCACCATCAACAATTGCCCAAGGTCTGCAGTTCTCTCGCTGTTATCAAGGTGTTAGCGTTGGAGAAAACCCACGCGTGCGAGGGGGCAACGCTCTATCCCATACTATTGAATCAGATTTATAATATGAATTTATACCGGAGGAATCCGATGAGCTGATGACACGGTGGCGAGATGTTAACTATCTCGCCTGGTATACAGGAGGTCGTGGGTTCCATCCTGACCCTGACGATGCCTGCTGCTGTATATTTGGAGTTTGCGTCTCTCTCTCTCCCCGTGGAGATGTTAACTCCCTCGCCTGGTATACAGGAGGTCGTCTGTTCCAACCCGACCCTGACGATGCCTGCTGCTGTATATTTGGAGTTTGCGTCTCTCTCTCTCTCCCCGTGGAGATGTTAACTCCCTCGCCTGGTATACAGGAGGTCGTGGGTTCCATCCTGACCCTGACGATGCCTGCTGCTGTATATTTGGAGTTTGCGTGTCTCTCTCTCTCCCCGTGGAGATGTTAACTCCCTCGCCTGGTATACATGAGGTATTGGGTTCCATCCTGACCCTGACGATGCCTGCTGCTGTATATTTGTAGGTTGCAGGTCCTCCGGTTGTTTCCTCCCCTCCACATTTCAAATCAACGTCCACGCGTTCAGAGCATTTGACTGCTGCTATTCATTTCCACACGACCACGACGACGATAAACCTCCCCACGTCGTTGAGCCATCAATTGCATTCCTATCGACCCCTTATCAGTGCCCAACCTTATTACCGATCAACTCAGACCTCATCGGTCACTTCGTACCCCTTATAAATCTCAACGTTCATCCTACAAAGTGCCATCATAAGGAAGAAACATAAACAGACACTCACCACGACTACACTCACCACTAGTACACTCATCACTTGTACACTCACCACTAGTACACTCATCACTTGTACACTCACCACTAGTACACTCACCACTAGTACACTCACCACTAGTACACTCACAACTAGTACACTCATCACTAGCACACTCACCACGTATACACTCACCACTACACTCACCACTAGTACACTCATCACTACACTCACCACTAGTACACTCACCACTAGTACACTCACCACTACACTCACCACTACTACACTCACCACTATACTCACCACTAGTACACTCATCACTACACTCACCACTAGTACACTCACCACTAGTACACACACCACTACACTCACCACTCGTACACTCACCACTAGTATACTCACCACTCGTACACTCACCACTAGTATACTCACCACTAGTACACTCACCACTACACTCACCACTAGTACACACACCACTACACTCACCACTAGTACACTCACCACTAGTACACTCACCACTAGTAGACTCACCACTACACTCACCACTAGTACACTCACCACTAGTACACACACCACTAAACTCACCACTCATACACTCACCACTAGTATACTCACCACTAGTACACTCACCACTACACTCACCACTAGTAGACTCACCACTACACTCACCACTAGTACACTCACCACTAGTACACACACCACTAAACTCACCACTCATACACTCACCACTAGTATACTCACCACTAGTACACTCACCACTACACTCACCACTACAACACTTGTACACTCGCCACTACAAACCTATTAACCCCTTGTCGGTGCCCTACCTTTTTACAGACCAATTCAGACCTGATTGGTCACCCCGTGCCCTTATAAATCTCAACGTTCATCCTACAAAGTCCCATCACAAGGGAGAAACACAAACAAATTGACCACTCACCTTTTTTTTGCCCGTATCGAAACGGCAGTGCGCCGCATAGACCTGAAAACTAAATTTCCCTGGACACGAATGCGGGGCAAACCGTGATGGGTTGACTGCTATGGTATTATTGTGTATATAGTAGTGTAGTGTGCAGTGTACAATAATACGGGGTAAACCAGACGGGTTGACGGCGATGCATTTGTGTTTGCCGGGTCGCTTCTCAGCGGGTCCTTACACCTGGGTAAAATAAAAATCAAATAAAGCATGAATCGTTTAATGGTTAGCCGTGGTCGGGAATTAAACCGAGGCTATTTGTGTTGTCGCAGCTCGGTGCGCTAACCACTGCGCCACCGCTCCCTGCCCCGACCTCGGAAGCGATACGCGGTGGTGCAGATTATTCCGTGCGGTGCGAGAGAGAGAGAGAGAGCGCTAAGAACACGTCACGAGTGCGGTCCGGTGAGAAGGAGACGCAGGGACTTTGAGGCGCGGGCCAGGTTAAGACTCATCCATCATGGCACCAGGTGATGACATTCGTGGGGCCCGGCAGGCAGTTCGCCAC